GTTCGATGCTCTTGACTGCTATGACCTGTTTTCCTTTTTTGAAGTAAATTCCCATTGAATCACGATCACTCTTGTTGCTGCTGGTAGTTCAGTGAGCTTTTTCACGTTTCTCTATACCGAGTATTCCTAGCTATATATTTCGTAGACTTCGTATTGTTCTTCCTTGTACTATAGCTCACTATTTAGGGCGGTTTGGCGCTGCATTTATGCGTGTTCTTTTAATTGCTTCTTTCATTTCATATTTCTCGTTTGAACGCTTCAAAATAAGTGACACTGCAGCTGAGATTATGTACATCATTTCGGTTCAGAAATATGAAAACCGAGGCCACAATAAATGCAGAACAAGAAAAATTATTGGAAAACGCTACGCGAGTGGTCAAGGCCGAGTCGCTGGAAATGAAGCGGTGTCTCGACAAGGTAATTCTATAATTCTGTTGAACCAAACTGATGTTTTTTAGTCATCTGCTCCGTGATTCTCATCAAATACATATCAGCTGAATAGGGAGTCGTCCGGAACGTTTTGAGACTGGGTATAAAAAGTTTCTTTTTCAGCACAAGACTACCCAGTTTTTTTTCATTTTTGCTACTTTCTTCGCCCTTCTTTCGACTACTACCTACACTACACACTGCCACCCGAAAAGGTTATTCGAAACCTGCTACTTTATAAAACCCTTGGCACAAGACGCCTTCAAGAGATTTCTAAGGGAATATCAGTCGTGCAGTACATACAGAGTAAACGGGGTTGGCCCAGTGGCACATTATGCTGTTGAACAGTTTTTCCAAACTGCAACTATTATTTTCTGACAACCGCCTCAAAAGTTTTCTCACAAAGCTTCCTGCAGGGCGAAACGATGGACGCACTAAAACATGCTTCGCAGTTTCTCAACGAATTGAAGACCAGTGAGCTGTCACCCAAGTTCTATTACAGATTATGTAAGTTTTTTTTTATTTCGATCAGGGTTCTTTTACGGATTACTCGGGGACTCACTCGGACCATTTGCGTCACATTTTTCTTAAAGCTTTTTCTTTCTTTTCTTCTTTTTCTTTTCTTCTTCTTCTTCTTCTTTCTTTCTTCAATTTGACAAGGCACTAGCGTGGTTGGGGGGGGCATGGCCGGGTTTCTATATCGCTTTCCCAAAAAGGCTCAGGTTCAAACCGCAGACGACCAGGTCGCCGAGAGGTATTCCCAAGGAGGAGACATAGTTATTACTAGGTGTAATTAGAAACAAACAGAAAAGAATATTGGAAGAAGAAAACACTCCAAAACACAGATGGTCCGTTTCGCCTGTTATCCCCAGGCGAACCATCATTGTCAAAGCCTTGACTCCAAGAAAGGAGGCGCAGCCAAGTGTTTCTCTCTTT